AATGGTAATAATGGCAACCAGTCCGGCGCGTCGGCGGCGAAGTCGAACGCACAGGTCAAGGAGACCGGTCCTGGCGCGCAGCGGAGTAGTGATCGTTCTCGACGACGGGACCGTAACCCTAAATCAGACTCACCATTGTCCGAGGCCCAGATGAAAGAACACCTGGAAAATAACCTGTGCTTCAAGTGTCACAAAGCCGGGCATATGAGTCGAAACTGCCCCGAAGGACAGCAGGTTACGAGTAGCACGCGAGATAAAGCTCCTGGGTCGAAGACCAGCTATGCCGTTTGGTATGCCGACAGTAGTGAACCGGCCGATGATGCCATTCAGGTAACCGATGGCGATGGCGACGAACCTGAGGTGTTAGACGAGTTACCCTGTGGGTCAGTGCGGTTCCGATTGGACGAAGGCGACCAGGAAGAAGGTGCTGGGGCCGACACGGCCTTTGTACAGGACGATGGGTTGGACCCGTTTGGGAATCCTCCGCCGTATGAGGAGCCTCGGACGGAGGCCTATGATGCACATGCCTGGTATCGGAGGTATCAGCGGCGCTGGTATCGTTGGATCATTGACTATCTAGAGACGCGGGGCATGACGCACCGCGTACGTCAAACCTGTGAAGCATATGAGAGGCACGGATCTGATAGTACCTTTGTGTGTCCGGATGCCGTACGAGCGCATAGGCTGGAACGTGACGCTTTCATCGAGGGATCTTCGCGGTTCGGTGACCCAGTCGCTAACCGTATGGGGATGGTCGTTGAGGCGCAGATTGACCGGCTGCCGCACCTTTGGGAAATCTGGACTCAAGAGTTCGCTATCGACTCCTACATGGTGCTCTCTGAGGACGGGTACACGCCATGGGTAATGAATGAGCCGTACCTTAGTACGTCGCTTGAAGTCCCTCAAGAACTCCTGACGCGGCGAAGCTTCGACTTCGTTGGTTGGTATCGAGCCCGCATGATGGAATTTGTTGACATTGCGCGGCGGTTCGAACACGACGAACTTGGGATGGAAGACGTCGACTTCTTTCAGGAGTGGAATTGGGGCGAACCTCGATGGGCGAGTGATGACTCGCAGGCCCCGTTAGTCACTGAGGACCCTGACAGTGGTGAGGAATCCGAATCGGAAATGGGAGAATACCCACCTGGGACGCGGTTCAACATCCCCTCGTCCGATGAGGATGAGGGGTCCATAGACGGCGCTCCGGAGGGCGAGATATTCCTTGTTGACGGTGTCCTATATGCTGTTGGCGCCGATGACACGATATGGTTCCGGGCCGCTAGCGTCGGGCTTGCCGTTTCGGATACTGACGTCGAGCCTGATCGGGCGTCTCGAGTGTGTATGGCGAAGGTAAAACAGCCGCCTGAGGGGAGCTTCGCCTCCTTGCAGCGAACTGCAGCGCGAGTGAAATCGGCAGGGCGGAAAGTACCTCGGCCTATCGTGCTGAAAGTCAAGGTTAATGGGCATGAATGCCGCGCCTTACTTGATTCTGGGTCGCTCGGCGACTTTATGTCGAGCACACTTGCGGAGCAGCTGAAGGTTGTGAAGGTGCCTGTGGATACCCAACTGACAGTGCAGCTGGCCGCTCAAGGGTCGAAGACCAAAGTGAATTACTACACCGAGGTCGAATTAAGTTATGCACGCATCGCGTGTAAACGTACGTTCGATATTATGAATATCGACGGGTACGACCTGATCTTGGGAACGCCGTTTATATGGCAGCACAAGATCATGGTCGGATTGAATCCGTCGAGGGTAATTGTCGGATGTGAGACGCCTGAAGGTCTTCGCGCTGGCGAAGACGTTAGTATCCTGGCATCCCGGGCGACAAGGATCAGGGAGCGATCTTTGAAGGATATTCGAAGGGAGCTTCATCAGTATGCGTCTCCCTTATACCAGAAGGCGGCAGAAACGACGCTACCTCCGTTACGACGCGTGAACCATCGTATCCCTATCATTGACAAGGATAAACGATATCCGTTTCGCGCTTCCCGTTGTCCTGAAGGGTTCCGGGAGCAGTGGAACGCCAAGCGCGACATTTTCTTGAACTCCGGACGATGGGAGTATGCGAGCGGGACGAACGCTGCGCCAATCATGTTCTTGAGCAAACCATCCGGAGGAATGCGCAACACGGTCGACTTACGGGCGCGGAATGACAATACTCGCAAAATGTCGTCGCCTTTGCCCGATCAGGATGCCATCCGGCGTCGGGTGGCGGCCAGTCGCTATTTTACGGCGATGGACCTGGAGGGCGCGTACGAGCAGGTGCGCGTGGAGCCTGAAGATGTGCCGTACACTTTAATGGCAACCCCTGATGGAACAATGGTTAGTCACGTCCTTCAGCAGGGGGACTGCAACGCGATTGCGACGTTCATGGCGGTGATGACTGACCTATTCTCGCCGTACATCGGTGCTTGGCTTGAGATCTATCTTGATGATTTGATCGTGCACACCGACGATCTTGACGACCATGTGCGATGCGTGAAGCTCGTTATCGACATCCTGAAGGAGAACGAGTTCTACTTGTCAGAGAAGAAGATGCACTTTTTAGCGGATGAGATCAAACTATTAGGGCAGATAGTATCGCACCGCGGGATTCGGCTCGACCCCGTCAAGGTTGAGCGCATCCGAACGTGGAATGTTCCCACCAACCGCGACCTGTTACGGGGATTCCTGGGCGCCGTGGGGTACCTTGCGGATGGATGCGCAGGGATCCGAGTGCCGATGGATGTATTGAACCGGTTGACGGGGGACAACGTGGTCTATCGGTGGGGACCTACCGAACAACGGGCTTTTGATGAAATCCGGGAAATAGTGCACGCTCACCGAAATGTGCACCGTGTGGCAATGAGGTACGGTCCCGACGCCCCTCCTGTCCATGTCGTGACTGACGGATGCCTTACCGGCGTAGGTGGATGCATTCTGCAGGGCACTGATTGGCAGTCGGCTGGGGTCGTCGCGTTTTACTCTGCTAAACTGTCTCCTGCGCAACAAAATTATGCGGTGCATGAGATCGAGTTATTAGCTGGTCTAGAAACTATGCTACGTTACCGTGACTTGCTGCTTGGGGTGCGATTCACCTGGTACACGGATCATAAGGGCTTGATCCATTTTCATG